GATTGAAAATTTTATAAAATTAATATAAAAAAATAAGGAGAGAGAGTGAGTGTTTTAATTAATTAATTAATCATTAAATAAAATTCTTGACTTCATCTTAAAAAAAACTTATTCTCGTTATATTAATTTTAAAAATAAATAAATAAATAAAAACTTATCGTTATGGTAGAAATAAATAAATGCTCATTTACCGATCGGTCCCAATCAACCTTTAAGACACAACAAAAATTCTACCAGTTACTAGTTGAGAAGAACTGAACGCTACAGAAAAAGAAACACAAATTAAACTACCAAAACCTCATCAGTGCCAACATTTACAAACTAATTTCCCCTTGGAAATCTTCTGTTCAAGAAGATTAGAGACTAATTAAGCTAAGCTCACTAGACTTAATATATAATCATCTCCATGAAAATTAATTAGAAGGTACATGGTAGTATTTCCCTTTGCACATGCACCTATAAACAATTGGACAAGACTCCGTGGAGCATTTGAAGCTCACCATCACCCTCTTGCAAGGGAAGCATGGACCACAGGCATGGGAACAATCCGGCAAGCTAGATCCTGTTCCTGTTGCGTACAGCTTCATCCCAACCACCTCTTCCTTTCCTCCTTCCTTGGAACGTATTGAATCTCCAGGTTCCATGCTTTTCCCCTTAAGGCCAACTGAAAAAACAATATTGTTGAAGAAGATTAATATAGAATTTTATCAATGAATATCACTGTAGAGGAAAAGGTCTTACATTGGTATTGAGGCGACACGCGAAGGCTCTCAGCAACAAGAAAGATCATCATAAGAAGCAAAGCCCGGCGGAGTACAAGTGATGAGTAGTTCTTCATCATGTTTCTTTATTAATTATAGTGTTGTAGAAGCAGGGAAGCTCTCTAGCTATGCAGAATTGAGAAGCTTGATGAGATATATTTCATTAGAAAGCATATGCAAGTGATTGGCAAACAAAGGTGGAGAGCTGGGAATTAATACGATCATATGGATATGGGTATTGTGTGTGTATATATATATATATATATATATAGAGGTGGAAGATGGAAACAGGGGATGGTTTTAAATGATGGAGGTACTTCACAATTCACATGATACACGGCAATCTTTTCAAGGGTTTCACATGTTTTCGTAAGTCTTCCACAAGTAGTACCCTCAAGATATCGGAACTCTATGCTACTGATCGAGATCTTGCCAACCACTTTTATTCGTTGGTTAAAGAATGCATTGGTACAAACCTTTATTCATTAGTTAATTACTTTTTGAGTTTGAATACGAAATCTTTAATTGTTATATTCATATATAAATTTTATATATTATATTTAAATAAAATTTTAATTATTT